CAGGAGGCGAGTGCAGTCTTTTGTTTTTCTCATCCCCTCGTAGCTCAATCTTTGGTTGTGGCAAAAAAAACCTTCTTTCTTCTTTACTCCCGCTCCTCCTCCTCCTCCGTCAGGACACCGGTTATCCCCTTTCGGCCAGCCCTCGCCGGCCTGTTTCAGTTAGTCCGCACTTCACAACATGATCTTGTGCTAGCAGATATGACATTGGGTCATGTCTGCTGTGAACCTTTGCCAGAAGAAGAGGAGGTATAATTGAACCTGATAATAATGTCCACGCTAGGTCAACTGGCGTAGCTCAGTTGGCACACCTACGAACTGTTGAAATGCAGACCTGAGTTTGAATTCCAATGCAATCTGATGAGTGAAAATAACTCTAAATTTACCTGGGGCTGGTCAGCTCAAAAATGATATCTCAAGGCCATCGCCCTTTTTTTTATTATAAAAGAAAAAGGTCAACTGTTTTGATTGCTATAGCAGGCGTTCGTCTTCGACTGGTTGGTGAGTGGGCTTCTTTGTCCTTTTATTTATTTATTTTTTTGTTTTTGTTTTTTGTGGGCTTCTTTGTCCTGTTGTTGTATCTGGTTAAGAGTCTTAAGACTTTGAAGTTTGAGCAGGTGCATCAACTCAGATTATGGATTGCCTTGGGTTAATTGATCCCAAACAGGAATCAATAGCACTGCAGATGAAATGGGTTATCAAGATCCTGATCAGACAGTCCCTTCCGTGGACCCAGATGGCTCTAGACAGCATCAGAAACCTGGCGCCCATCAACTCCCCCCTGAACATGAGAGGTCTCTACTGGCTCATGGCGAAGGACTGGGCAATCAAGTCAGGCAGACCTCGAAGGAGAAACCTGGCAGAGCCCATCACTATTCCCACTCAAACAGCCATCTCATATTGGAGTCCAGTCATCAAAGCCTGGCGGAGACTGATGCCAAGTAAACACGGTTCACCAGAAAACAAAGAAGAGGTCCTGAGACAACCTCTCTTCTGCAACCCTTGGATCACCGACCCTAGCGGAGTCATGTGGACACTACGCGCAAAGGACCGAAGATGGCTATCCTGGGTGGAAAAAGGTGTGTGGCAGGTAAAACACATCTGGGTAGAGGACCAAGGATGATGGGTCACCGAACAGGAACTACGAAATGTCCTAAAAGGCTGTCGCTCCCTCGCTGAGAACCTAGCGACGATCCAGAAGAGTATTCCATCACAATGGCTCTCCCTCCTAAGGGAGGACTTTTCGTGGAAAGCTGGGGATTGGGGCATACTCATCTCCCAAACCCAGCCTACCAGAGCATATCGATTCGTCTCTTGAACCAACCCATTCAGCTACCTATCTAAGTTCTACTCATACCCCATCGCTAATCACAACCTAGAAGAGCTGGAAATCCAGAACAAAGATCCCCAGTGCGACACACTAGAAACCTTCCGACTGAGAAAGTTAGGGTCTCAAAGGCCAAACCCTGGAAAATCTTCCAACCTAACCTAAGCATTTGTGACCTCGAATTCGGCCCGAAAGAGTGGGTATGGAAGCAGGGCAAATCCGGGAGAACAAGAACGATATTTGAATATGATGTCAAATTCGGGTATGAGTTGGGTCTGCAAACCACAGATCCGGACCCCAGACTCAAAGGAAATTGGAGGGAGATCCTGAATCTGGACCCCACAGACCCCATTTCCATCCCATGGACGAAGTACTTGTCCATCAGACCGGTTAGGATTCGAAGCATGCAATGGCTCTTAGCGCACACATCGCTGCCGGTCAATCAATGGCTCCACAAGAGGAGGAAACATACGAACCCTGATAGCTCTGAACTATGCAGGCTATGCACAGCCAACAGCCCGGAAGATATACCCCACTGCCTCCTGTACTGCACGGAAGCAGCATGGATATGGAACAAGGTGCACGATCTATGGTCCCTCCTCTTCTCATCACCCCCCCCCGCCCACACCCCCCCTGAACATCCTGCTCCTATCCAACAATACTAACAATCTCATGGGCGGCAAAGAAGTCTGGTTTCACCTGCTCAGGAAGCTGGCCCTATGGGTAATTTGGAAAAGGAGATGTACCAAGACTATTGAAGGTACCGAGGTGGCAAGAGAAGAAATGTGGGTTCTACTACTGGGAATGGCTGAAACGGAGATTCGATCCAGATGGCGGGAGGCGATATCAACAACGAAGGTCAGACCAGAAGGGATAGCCGTAAAGAGACGGATCTTCACGAGAAACTGGCTTTTACAGGGAAAGATAACAACTGTGTCAGACAACAGATTGATTTGGAAGAAGTGGCACAGCCCACCTCCAACACGGACGGTAACCCAGTGAGGGGCAAACTGAGATGATAATCTCAACAGGATAGACAACTCTCCTCTGTTCTTGCTTTACACGAATCATCTGACAGAGTCACAATAGATTCTGAGAGGAAAAGGGGTAGGGCAAGCTGATAGTCAATCCTCAGGATATCGGGCAATCAATGCTGGTCAGGGTTCCTTCGGCCAGACGGAAGGAAGCGTGAGAGTGTTCACCATGTATTCCATTGTTTGACTTGCCGGTGGAGAGGAACCGGACTGACGCTCCCCAGAATGGATATGGAGCCAGGACCATAAGGACCTGTTTAAAAAAAAAAAAAAAAAAAAAAGATTATGGATTACCTTGCGGGGTTTTTTATTGGATTCGTTTAGTACTACTTCACACAAGTAAAATACTGTGGATTGTGGATTGAGACTCCGTTAGTAGTGGCGAGCGAACGCGGATTAGGCTCTAAATACCATCCAAGCAAATAAGAAAAGATTGGAAAGTCTTGCCAGAGAAGGTGATAGCCCTGTATATTTGTCCAATGGTTTTCGTTTCAAGAAGTAAGTAAAACGCGCGCCGTGTTTGAATTCTGTGGGGGACCACCCTCTAAGCCTAAGTATCTCTCACCTAGAAAGTAAGGCAACGAAATTACCTTAGGCGAAAACAATGCGCGCTCTTGCGCCTCATGTCACCATGAGGATTGGACCATATCATCACAATTGGTAGTTTCCGTGAGTCTGGCGTATGGCCTCTGAGGATCGATAGAGACGATTCGTCTAGCGAGCCTGCTGATTTACTCTATCCACTCGAGTGGCTTACTGAGTATTCAGTATAACTCACGTCTTCGTGTACATACACGTGTAGATGAAAGAACTCCCATCTGTTCAGTAGTCAAAATATTTCCGGCAGCTGGTTGGTGGGAACGAGAAGTATGGGATATGTTTGGTGTGTATTTTTCTATCTTGCTTGTAGCAACGTTGAACCAAGGATCAACCGTGCTGTGCTCCCCACCACCAGGAGACTGCAGTAATGTTTGTGAGAAATTCTGAAGTTGATTTTTTTCGTGCAGTTCCTGCTGAGCTTTCCTTGTTGATGATTATTCCATTAGCCATTGATCTTGTGGTTGTATCTTGGTTGGCATGACATTACACAAAACAGTCTGATATCACTCTGGCTGACAAGAGGACTTCAGGGAACCAATCAAGACCTCGACTACGCCAATCAAAATGCTGTCTCAGTTGCCTTGGTATTTTCTCATTGCTCTCCATCTTCTACATCCGTCGTTCCAGACCCCCCCCCTCCCCCTCCCCTTCCCATGAGTGATGGTTCGTGTGTGTAATGGATGCAAGCAGTCGCATGAAGCGCATTGCCTGTTTGAAAACATAACTTAACCCTTATTATTGCAAGAGACGAGAGCAGCAGAGCATCCCAATAACCCTCTTATATGCATAGCAGCAGTACTTTTTTTTTTTTTTTTTTTTGGAACCATTTCTCGATTCATGTGTGTCAATCCTTACACAGGGCCCATGCTAATCTTTCTGTATCGTTCCAATGTTAACGGATGTCCCGAAGGACACACAACAGCAAAACTTCGTCAAGCAAACTATCAAATTTCTTGTTCATTCATTCCTTACTGTATTACTTTGCTGATAAAGGGGAGGTGATTATGTGAGGGAGACCATGGTGACGAGAGAAGGGAGATCATATTGGTTCAAGCTTCTTCTTCTTCTTCTTCTTCTTCTTCTTCTTCTTCTTCTTCTTCGTCTTCATCTTTGTTGTCGTCGTCGTCGTCGTTGTCGTCGCCGTCTTCTTCTTCTTCTTCTTCTTCTTCTTCTCCTCCTTCTTCTTCTTGACTTGCAATGAATGACATTGTCTCAAACTTGAAATGGACAGGAGCATAGCAACAACAATGTGCAAAGTCCTGGACTACCTTGACAGGCTATCCAGGTAGGGTTTGTGTCTAGGACTCCAGGCCTCTTTTTTTTTTTCTTAAAAAAAAACAAATTCAAATATCAATGTCCAGGTCATTATCCGCTGGGGTTGGGTATGTGTCTGGATCTACTGCTAGACTATGCGGAGAACCTGTGTCAAGACGTGGTCCAGGCATTTTCCCTGCCCACTGTTCTGTCATTGTTTGTCTTTGTCCGTCTTTGTTGCTTCTATATAACCCACAATATAGCTTTACAGAGAAGCTGGAAGTCACGTTTTCTGAAGAGCGGCAGCTTGGCAGCAGGGTCGCAAGAATGTTCACTGTAACTTGACAGTGATGAGGGTTTTGGGGGGTTGGGGTTAAGTAGAGGGGTACAATGAACAGGATAGAGACGATGAATGGGAACCCCATAAAGTGTGTACATTTTCCCATATATCTGCGGAATTTCTTGCTTAGGTGCTATGTCACACATTTTGTGAACGTTTGAACTGTTGGGACCTTGTTTCTCCCTTTCTATTGTTTACAACTTTACACCCGAAAAACGTCTGGCTGATGCCCCGTCTTCAATGTGTGCAGTCACTGAGAGGAACACTACTGGCGATGGGCTACTACTCCAGCGCACTTGCCGCCCTTGTTGCTGTGGGACTAGTTGCACTTGGCATCCAAGTCAATGGAGGGGACTCTGACAATGACTCTTCCAAGACTTAAGCCAGCAAGTGAATGACAACATCATTACTCCCAATCCAAGCGAGATGGTACTCCCTTCTTTCAACTTCTGACCCTCTGCTAGCTCTCTCTCTCTCTCTCTCTCTCTCTCTCTCTCTCTCTCTCTCTCTCTCTCTCTCTCTCTCTCTCTCTCTCTCTCTCTCTCTCTCTCTCNCTCTCTCTCTCTCTCTCTCTCTCTCTCTCTCTCTCTCTCTCTCTCTCTCTCTCTCTCTCTCTCTCTCTCTCTCTCTCTCTCTCTCTCTTGCCGTGTGCCTGAACATGTGAAGGCTACTTGCATGCCTATAGATGTGAACATTATTAGTCTATTTATACTTCAGAACTTAGAAGAACTGAAGTGACAGCAGTCACCTATAGGCTCACACGATCGGAAAAAGCATCAGACTTTACGGAATTCCACGAGTCCTTCATTATTTTATTGTAAAGTTGTAACTTGTAAATCATGGTCTCTGCTCCCACAGACTATCTGCAATCTCTCAGAGCTCCAGTTTGTGACAGAGAGAAACTTTGCCACCAGAAGTGTCCTGTCATTACCGTCTTCACCCGAATAGAACCGCCCAGTAATTATGGCCGTACCTGGACTCGTAGTTGCACCAAATACAGCCATAATGACCGGGAGTTCTATTCGGATGAAGAAGGTAGTCTGGAACGAGTTATGTAGCTTGTGAATTGCCATATTCGAGTGATGATCGCAGCTTCCCGTTGATTTCCTTCTGTGTCATGATGTTAGGGAGTAAGTACATGCTCTTCTTTTGCTTTTTTTTTTTTTTTTTGAGTCATGATGGGCCATCCTTTCAGCGGACGTTGGTAAACTGTGAACCTCTGCCATTGGCCAACAACCAGTTGTAGGTAAGGATGACATGGTGATGACGTTGCAGTGACATTGTCATGTTCTCTTCTGGAGAACTGAAGTTCGCTGGTGAGGTGACGATGTCCATCATCATCCACTTGTAAATGTGCCAACGAGTGACAAGTCAGGGTTTGGGGGGTCAAGTCCTTCAGGACATCTGTTAAAATTGGAACGATACAGAGAAGATTAGCATTGGCCCTGCGCGGTCTACACACAGATGCAGCTTGAGCTCAACCACAATCAATGTGGCAAGCGTTGTATGTGGGAGGCACAGCAAAATGGGCTGTTTTGTTGATGAAGTGATGTTTGTGGGTGGCTACGAGCTGTTTTGGGGGTGGGTGTTTGGGGTTTTGTCCATAATACGTCTGTGAGGAGGTTCAGAGAGTGTTTGCTGTGGGTGTCATTCCCGCGGGCTGCTTTTTCGGAGCACATGGAAGAATGGGGCAGCTTCTAGGGTGTTTTAAGCAGTAGTGCTCCTGGTGTTGCGTGGAGATCTTGTGGAATTTGGCATATTAGTCATGGAGTGATAGAGATGGTGGTGGCGTGAGTGTAGACTGCCAGTGCTGCTTTGTGTGTGGGCTGACTCGGAGGGCCCTGCTTTCTTGCTGGTGAAGCCTTCTGGGTTCGATATGTTGTCTTTATCTTTATTGTGTGGGCTGACGTCAAGGGCTCTCCAGGTTTTTCGGATCTTTGGAGTATGGGGTCGGAGCTTTCTCAGTTTTAGGTAAGTTGCTTCTTGCCTTTCACCCTTTTATGGACTAAATAAATATATGCATGTATGTATACGTGCAAGTGTGCCGCTTCAGTGGCAGACGGGTGTGTGGATACTTGAGAGCATGCCGGTGGAGCAGATTTCTAATCCCTGCAGGAGGTGCAGTGATCATGCTGTTCAAGGATAATCAAGGCCGCTGTCTTGGAGGCTGCGATCCAAGGATAATCGAGGCCGCTGTCTTGGAGGCTGCGGTGGAGACGGAAAAGTTGGGAGAACATCCCCACCGAAGAGATCTGCATCAATCGGTCTAACAACGGATGCATCTGCCGACGGGGCCTTTGTCGCGACTGATCCGACCATGAATGTGATGATGATGATGATGATGATGATGATGATGATGATGATGATGATGAGGTCGATGAGGTCGATGAGGTCGATGATGAAGAGGAGGCCGGCAAGGNGATGATGATGAGGTCGATGAGGTCGATGAGGTCGATGATGAAGAGGAGGCCGGCAAGGTGGCGGAGGGGGAAGAAGGAGAAGAGGAAGAGGAAGAAGTAGAGGAGGCAGATGACGGAGGGGTTGATGTCATAGAAGATGTCAGCAGGGGAAGTGTTGGTAATGATGGTTGTGGCGGTGATGAAGATGATGGTGGAAGTGCTGGTGGTGGTGGGGGGTGATGGTGGAAGAGGGGGCAGTGGCGGTGCGTGTGGTTGTGTGGAAGACCTGCACGCAGAATTAGCATCTGTGTGTGAACGACATCGTTGCCTTCAATACACACCTGCCAGGAATAGTACATGTAGAGTCCGATGCCCTCAATGTGGCGATGGCCTGCGTGTGCACCAGACACTCTGAGCACAAGTGCAGCTGATCAGCTTCCCCTTCCGGCATCTGGTCCACCCTTTTTTCACCCACCTAACCCAGCCCTCTCTCATCCACCTAGCCCCGCTTGCTCCACTGCCCCAAATGACAATGACCCATCTTCTGATTACCTGATGGAGCTCCCGACTGAAGATCTATCTTCAGAGCGCATACTAGAGCCAACGGACTCAATACAGCCGGAGGCACCTGACAGAAATAGTCACGACCGCAATGAGTCTCCACCACCTGTGCAAGCTGCAGAATTGAACGAATCTCCCCCTGCCGTGCAAACTGCGGAATCGGATGATGTCATAGCGCTACAGCGAGGCTAGGTGGATCAGGTAATCAGAAGATAGGGGCCCAGCATGCCGTTGTGGCCTCTATCTGCAATGCCTACATAACTGTGCACGTCAGCCTTCCATACTAATGACATGTCAGCAACATGGCATGTTGGGCGATGTACATATAAACCGAGGATCCGCAATGTGATAAAAAGGACTAAATGGACAATGCAGTGCAAGTGAAATCTCAACAAGCAACGTGCATTCCGATACATACAAAATGGTGCTTTATAGCGCAGGGAAGACTTTAGGTACAAGTCCTGACCTGACCGGGACTGACCTCTTTCACGTAGTACAAGATAGCGAAGCAAAATGCTAGAATACTAATGACTAGCCCACTCAATGTTTCAACACAGATCAAACATACATCATGCTCATCACAAGGTGTGATGGGGCCTGGCGCTATACACAGGAAAGAGGCGCCAGGTCCAGACATACACAGATGAAGAGGAGGGGATCAGACGAAGAAGAGGAAGGGGGAGATGGGAAAGTCGTCAACCCCAAGTCTCGTTACAAGTCCCAAATAATCCCTCTTCAAAATTTCTGAAGTCCCATGTCGAGTCTGGATCCAAATGTCACCAAGCTCTCTCTCGCTCTCTCGTAGTCTGCTGATGCATTGAAGTCAGATAGCGAGAGGGTGAGAAGGAGATGGTGGACTGAGAAGAGGAAGAAGAAGAACTCTCTCTCTCATGTGCCAGGAACTAACCTGTGAAGATGGCGCTGTGCTGCAGGTACCTCGAAGACGAAGCTGGAGCAATGGCGCTGCAGGTAAGTATCCCTGGCCTCCGCCCAACCTCTCTCTCTCTAGCACTACTCTAGCTCCTATGGCGCCCAGCGCTGAAGACTACTGCTAACGCTACTTGCACCCAGCGCTGAAGACTACTGCCAGCGCTCCTACTACTCCTGCAGCTCTCCTCCAGAGTGCTGCTGCCGAATCCTGAAGACTACTGACTGCCTCCTGCCCTCTCGTGAAGTGCATGGGAAGTCCCTATGTACTACCTCGGCCTGCCCCCTGACTGCCTCCGACTGCCTGCAGTTGCAGGGCGGGCAGTCCAGGAGGCTGCTCTTGCCAATGCCAGGGTCTGGCGCTGCAGCTGTCGTGGGAACAGGCCAAAAATAGCCTGTTCCTAAAACCCTGGTTTGGTGCCTGAGTTTCAGGGCAGGTCGGTCTGATGAAAGACCGAAAATGGCCCTTCATTTCAGGCTAAAAAGGCTACTGCCATTTTTAGTCTGAAACGACACAGGGTCTGTAGGCCCCTGTTTTTCAGGCTTTCGAGCTGAACAGACACGGGGCCTGTAGGCCCTGGTTTTCAGGCTTTCAGCCTGAGGGACGCAGGGCCTGGAAAATGGCCGCTGTGTGCAGGTGCAGCATGTAACACGTGTTGTCAATGTTTCCAGGAAGCTGTCATAGAAAGTATGTGTCTTTACTGCGTGGACTATCCCCAGTGCCATCATCCTCCACATTCTCTCCTAGCTTGTCCCACATGCGGTGTTGGTCATACACATACGACAACCGCAGATGGATCTCCCTCTTTCTTGCCAGATGAACGACAGACACAGCAGCCCGAGGAGGAAAATAGACTTCTATATGAAGCACCTGCGGAGCAATGTGCTGATAGTTTATCACCACCAGGGCGAGCTGTTGTGGACCAAATCCTGCAGCAGCTGAAGGCCCTTGCTTTGGACCGATCCTCCCTGTCGCCGTCTTCCCGTAGAGAACGAATGAATACTGAGGAAACCCAAGAAAGATGCTCCGTGCCGCTTTGTGATGATCTGCCGGAGATTCAACTAGCATCTGGTTCGCATGCCTTGTGCCGTGAGGATTATGAAGGGATAGTCCATGCGAGTTTTTGCTTCCATACGTACGACGACAGTCAGTACTGTATTCATGTACGGCACCCTGACATGTGATGTCCGATTTGTAGACGGGCTGGAACGGCAATGCCTCTATAATTGCGGTTGATGTGCCTCTGTGTTCCCAGCATGTAGGAGCCACATAGCCTGTGTTATCTGTCTGCGCCGCGCAATTCGACGCAGCAATTGTGACAGCGAAAATTAGATGCGGTGCTTCCAAAGTCCACACCCGAACCGGTCCTGTCCGGTCTGTAGGGGGGGGCACTTGCCATAAGCAATAACTGCTCCTCAACCAAAAAATATTTTTTTGCAACTCTGTGCCATTCTAGAGTAGTCTGTTCCAGCGGTGAGTGTTTAGAATTCTGCAAAGTTCGTCGTACACCTCTCCCCTGCTCTTTGCATGTCATACTCTATCCTGACCTTCACATGTTTCTTTCCTGCCCCTTACCCTCCACCTCCCCCTACACCACACTCCTATAGAAATCCCTTTCCCTCCACCTCCCCTCCACCCTCCCCTTTTGTGCTACTAGCAAATACATAAGAATGAGCATCGTTGAGAGAACAGATGATATGGATTGGAAGTGAACAGGAGTATGAAGACGACAACAGACACAAAGACTAAGAAGTATAAGCTGAAGATCTGAAGTGAAATGAACAGGAGTAGGAAGATCTGAAGAGAAATGCATAGGAGCATACCTTCCCTTTTACTCTGCGTCCTGTTATAACGCGCAAGTGAGCCATTAAGGCACACGGGGATGTGGGCAGCTGTCGCTCAACCACCATCAACGTGGGCAGCCTTGTACGTGTGAGGCATAGTAAAAGAGGAGCTGTTTTCCCAAAGAAACCCCAGCTAAACATAGTTCTAAACACCTCTATTATGATTCACGTTGCTTGCTAAAGAGGTGAAATTCTTTAATTGTTGAGCTGGCTCAACTCGTACCTACTCGTCTGGATGGAATAGGGGCTGTTGTGGTGCAATTTTTAAACACACACACACACACACACACACACACACACACACTTTTGTGGTTGGATATGTCTTGTTGGTTTTGTTGATTACACATGGCCTAATTCTTTGCCCTGCTCTAGAGCATGGGCTGTTTGGATGTTTACGGGTGGCCACAGGTTCTCTTTGGGGGAATGTATGTTTTGTGGGCCGGTGTGGAAGGCTTTCCCAGTTTTTCCGGATCCTTAGCAGGGGGGGGTCGGTGCGTTCTTGCTGGAGTAGTCGTCTGTCTAAGGTAAGTTGTCTCTTATCTTGTTCCTCCTCTTCGGCAGTGACGCGAGTGTGTAGTTTGAGACGAATGTTGGGAATGTCAATGCTGTTATATTTGTTTGTTTTTTATAAATGAGTTTTTGGTTTTGTGGCCCGATGCGGAAGCCTCTCCAAGTTTTTTCGGACCTTTGAGGGGGTCGGGCTGGTGCCTTCTTGCTGGAGTAGTCGTCTGTCTTAGGTAAGTTGCCCTTTGCCCCCCATCCCCTTATGGTTT